ATAGTACTTAGAATATTTCAAATTACATTTATTTACTTCTATGTTTATTGTTGCTCTCCATGCCTCCTGAAGTGTAAGCCCTTAAAGACGGGATTATATTTCTCTTTTTACCCACTCTCTCAGTACTCAGAACAGTGCCTGATCACAGTAGGCTCTCACATGTATGCTAACTCACTTACAGTTTTATCTCATACAACTGTCCTTATTGTGCAGTATTTCCAGGTTACTGTACTTCTCTCTCTTGAAATTGAAGTGCTGCTCCCAACTGAGGACTCTCGCGTCTGCTGTTTCCTGTACCCACCCTAGATCCCACACCCACTCTCCATTTGAGCGTCTCTAACTCATACTCATCCTTCAAATAGGAGTCACTTACTTAGAGTGGGCTTCTCTGACTTCCATCCTACGTTAGGATTCAATGTAACATGTCCCATATTACCCCTATTTTTTGTAGCAGTTGTTACACTTAAAATTATTTGTAATCTCTTTGTAGACAGGGACCAAGTTTTTATTCTTCTCCACTTTATTTCCAGCACTTAGTTTCTGGAACATAGTAGACATGTAAATATTTGTGAGCTGAATGAGTGAATGAATGTTGAATGAACACAATTTTGAGAGAAACTAGGTAAATATTTAAAGAGCAGTTAGCATGGAGTGTAAGTTAGCTGAATCTGCCGTCTACTTCAATAGAAGTTTTTGGATCTTCTGAGATAGGGATAGTAAAGCATTGTATAAATTGAAAATGCTTTATTATAAATATGTGTTTTTCCCCTCCTCCTCCTCCTCTTCCTTCTTCCTCCTCCTCCTCCTCCTTCCTCCTTTTTTTGCTAAGGCCTCTTCACCCTCAGATCCCTATGGTTTGATAGTCTTTCAAAGTACAGTGTTTTATACTAAGCAGTATTGCCTAATTCTGTTATTTTAGAGCTATGCTTAAGTGGTAAAATGAAAAAAATTGAGGCTAATATTGAGACTAGACCAGTTTATAAGGTAACTACATTCTTGACACCCTTCATTCAGCCGGATTTTCTTGCTTTAGCAATACATCTGAGTTTTAGTCTTGCCCTTGATGTGTGACCTTAGCCAAATTAAATGATCTCTACTCAGGGATATCTTTTTGTAAACTTCATGAATACAATTCTTATCTCCCCAATATCTCACCAGAATTGAATTAAAGTTAGTAAAATATTTCAGATTTCCTGTATGAAATTTGCTTTTTTATAAAAAGTAATTTAGTTTTCTTATTAATTTTTTCAGAATCTGCCATTGTTTCATGCCAAGAACAAAGCTATATATTTTAGAAGGCTTCTTTTCACACTTTTCTGTACCTGTCTTCTATCACTAAGACCCTCGAGATATGTACATCAAGAACTCAGAGTTCATAGCTCAAAATTTTAAAAGACATTCTTTTCTCTCTAGCTCAGGATATTCTCTCTACCTTTTGCCCTTCTGAAATTACTCATGCTTTTTGTTTTTTTAATCTTCTTCCTTACATGTACTGCTTCAGGGCAATTCACCCAAAGGTGTAACCGAAAAATAAAATATTCTTCATTGCCTACAGTTTTACATCCAAATGCTTTTTGGTTTCCTGGGGTTGGTAAGATTTTTAGAGTGCTGTAGGGAATTCAGTGTAATGCGACTGCAAATAAATGGATCATGTAACAAGCCACAACTCCTGGGCAGCGTGGTAAGATAATGTACAATTCTGTTGCTTTTCCATAATAAGGAGCACAGTCCTGGACCTATTGACCAAAGTAGTTTCTCCATTAGCTTTTAGGATGGCTAAGATGGAAGTGGAAGAGGCACTTAGGTGCAAAGAGTAACTTAAGAGGTTGACTTAGACACGTTTCTGGATCTATGGAGTTGTCCACTAAGGCCTTTTGATTTCATTTCAGAGCATGTTTCTACCTCTTTGTTAGGAGGTTTAGTTAGTCTTCCCCTCCCAAACAAAACAAAACAAAATTTGACACAGTTCCAAGGGGAGATCTATTCTTGAATAAATGCCAATAGCATTTTAAAGATTATGTCTTTCCAGAAAGAGTAGGAAGAAACCTAATGAGAAAGAGAATGACATCAATAAGCATGTAGTCTTAGATCAGATCAGTCTCTTCCTGTCCCACCTTTTAACACTTTATTTTTAAAAAGGCTATTCTTCATTGAGTAACCTATGTGTAGAGCACTACAATAAGCAATTATACATGCATTATTTTAACCATCATAATCACCCGGCAAGGTAAGAAACAGAATAGTTACTTTTGAAAATAGAACCTAAAGACAAATCTGAATGTAACCTCTTTACACCCCAAAATATAATTCTAAGAACTTTTAATCAGAAATTCTTACATTTTGATATGATGCCTTTGTACCCAGATTGAGTTTTACCTTGAGTCATCCAAAGTTATAAGAGTGACTTTTTGATTTTTGTTACAGTTTAATTAAATCACTGACTGGGTGATGTATTGTAATGGAAAATGTATGGGCCAAAGGAGTCTGTCTTTCGGGGGCTAATCCTGGTTCCATTCTGAGTTATGTGAACTTGTGGAAGTTATTTTCTTTAGTGAAGTCACTTCTCTCTTGTCCTTTCTAAAACAAAGGGCACTTCTAGCTATAGGCAACCATAGATCTCTAGTTGGAAATACACTTTTGGAGAGTTTGAACCTACTTCAGCAAAGGTGGGCAGACCTCTGAGACTAGCCAAGGACTTATGAAAGTGGAATGAGGAGCTGGTCATCTGTCCTCAATCTCAGTTCCAAAACTTGGGTGTTGGATTCTTATAGCATCAGTGGGATTTCCTTATTTTGTTGCTCACACTCATTTAGTGGTCACAGAGCTTGTAATGTTATTTCTCCTCAGTAAATGTATTTTGAATAAATGCTTATGGAAGCTCTTTTATTCTTTAACACTGTGGAGAATTTCCCCATCAAATAGCACCAAATATATTTAGTGACAATAGTTCTTTGTCATCTCCTTACACCTCAATAGTCAATATCATTATCCTCAATAGCATTAAGCCCTGCTTCAGGTTCTATGCACTGACCCAAATGTTTCTTTATGTGAAACAAATTACTAAAACCATCAGTGCCAATGTGTTATTTAAGTTTAATTATTGGGGATTTTCAAAGAAAGATTCTTTCTCCCCTCTTTTAATCCCCCCCACACACACTTCCACTCTGACCTATGAATGTTGCTGTCTCCCCTTAAGAACTGAATCTCTGAAGGCAGGGCGTCTCCTCACACCTGCTAGTGGTGCACCACCAGGGCCTGGCACCCCTGGTGCACCCAGGGTATGGTTCATGGCTCCATCTGGCGCATGAACCCAGGACCTTCTGCGTGTAAAGCAGATGTGGTAACCACTACACTATAGAGCCACCTAAGGAAAGATTCTTGATTGAGATTTGTCAGATTTTGCACTGAGATTAAAACTAATCACTTTTCTTCTCTTCAATTTGCTTTTCTAGTGAAGCATTAAAAGAGAAACTCTTCAAATATATCAAGACAGCTAATGTTTATATAATACTTTAGAATTTATAAAGTACTCTTTTATAGTATTATCTCATTTAATGTCCACAACAATTCCCAGGTAGGTGAGATCCTCATTCATAGATGAAAAACTGAGAAATGAACAGGCTAAGTGACTTGTTCAGAGTCTAATGATTAATAAGAGACAGAGCTAGGACTTAAGCCTTGGTCCTCCAATTCCAAATCTTATGTCTTGTGTATAGGGAATATCCCATATTCCCTATCACTTTTCTTCTTATGTTTTACAGCCATCATATTTTGTGATCATCTAAAAATGGTTTGATAGTCTGACCCTTCATCTGCAAGTCCCATCAACTTAATAATAGTTACAGGGACATAATGTCACCATGACTGCAGTGCTCATGTTGGAGAATAACCTTGTGAAATCTTTGAACCACTACTACTATGTGGTTGTTTTGGATTAGTCTGTCTAATCCCTATTTTCAAATGAGGTAATTAGGGTGTGATGTTTGTTTCTGAAGTGGGCAGTCAGCAATTAACAGGAACAGGCCCCATCTAGAACAGGCTGTTTTAACTTTTTTCAAACAGCGAGCTGTAGCACAGCACGTGAAATTTCCTTTCTGGATTATCATTTCCAGCAAATGTCCTTCATTTCCTTTGCTTTGTTGCCCCCAACCCTCAGTCTCTGGGGAGCGATGACTGTATTTTAGAAGAACCCTCTGAATTATTGAGAGCTAAATTTTTGTGTCAACAGCCTAAGTCTTACCAGGTGGACTCCTTGTCTAAAAGTCATCTAGCACCAAAAATACCATCGAATCTAGCCTGGGTTCTTGCTATGCCTTGGGCATTAGGAATCAGCAAGATTTTTCTTTGGATATGAACAATATTTCCCCTCTGTTAACTTTGCAGTTGGCACCAACTTGTCTTTTCACTTTTGACTGCAATTCTAGTCTAAATAGTCTCCTGGACTCTGGCTCAAACCTCCTGTCATTCTAATCCTGGGCAACCAAGATCAAACACTAGGATATCTCTTTACTGGCAGCCCCAGCCTTGAACTTTGGAAATTATGGGAAATTCCATTCTTTGGGCACATAGATCTTCTGACTCCATCATACAAGAGTTTTCACTGCCGAGTAGAAATGGTATCAGGGTAACATGGAGGAAAGAATAATGAAAATAGACCTTTATGTGTGTGTAATATTTTAGTACTTACAAAAATGATTTTACATTATTTTGTCTTTTCTTCTTAATAACCCCAGGAAGCAGGGTAGAAAAGTGGTTAAGAGCATCAAGTCTGGATTTATACTTCCTCAGTTTTAATCCTATTTCTAACATTCAAAGCTGTAGGAAAGTTACTTCATCTGTCAGTGCCTCAGTTTCTTCATCTATCAGATTTATACTACTTATCTCATAGGCTTATTGTGAAGATTGAGATTAGGCAAGCTTTCTTTCTCATACATATGAGCCATTTTTAGCTTTTTAATAATTCTCTGCTATTTCTACTTTATTTAGGTTGTTTAGGAGCAATGAGTTTAAAACCCTTCACCTACCCATTTCCAGAGACGAGATTTCTTCATGCAGGATCCAGTGTGTATAAATTCAAAATCAGATATGGCAAAAGCATCAGGTAATTTTAAAGCTGGGAGGGGTAACCTTTGCAAACACAGATTAATGCATTCCTACAGTCATCCCTTCTCTGCCTTCACCCAGTCCATGAGACTGGCTGAAGTAGTATACTGTAGGACTTTTTTCCCCAGGTATTTTATATTCCATATATTATTATTCATGTAAGTTTCTAAATTAGTGATGGCATACCTTTGGGGCAGTGGATCCCTTTGAGGCAATGTACCCCTTTGTGGTTTTGAAATTATTGAGTATCTCAAAGTTTTTGATTATATAGGTTATACTCGTCAATATGTATCATATAAAAATTAAGCCAGAAAAATTAATATAACATTAATTAAAAATTAATATATCATTAAATGTTAACAAATAACATATCTTATTTATATAACTACATTTTTAAAAAAATTAAGAAATGTGGTATTGTTTACACTCCTGGGATTTACTCCAGAATGCAAGGATGGTTCAACATACAAAAACTAATCACTATAATATACCACATTAATAGAATGAAGAGGAAAAAAATGTGTGATTGTATCAATAGCTGCAGAAAAAAACATTTGACCAAATCCAGCACTCTTTCATGATAAAAGCACTCAATAAACTAGGAATAGAGGGTAACTTCCTCAGCTTTATAAAGGCCACATATTGAAAACCCACAGCTAAGATCATAGTCAAATGGTGAAAATCTTAAAGCTTTTTCCTTAAGATCAGAAACAAGACAAGGATGTCTACTTTCAACATAGCTTTGGAGTTCTAGCCAGAGCAATTAGTCAAGAAAAAGAAATACAATGCATACAAATTGGAAAGGAAGAAGAGAAACTATCTGTTTGCAGATGACATGATCTTATATGTAGGAAATCCTAAAGAAGCCACACAAAAAAACTGTTACAGCTGGTCAATAAATTCAGCAAAGTTGCAGGATACAAAATCAACATGTGAAAAATCAGTTGTATTTATATACACTAGCAACAATCTGAAAAGAAAAATTAAGAATTCCATTTACAATAGCATTAAAAAATAAAAATATACTTAGCAATAAATTTAGCCAAGGAATTTGTAAGAATTGCACACTGAAGAAAAACTACAGAAAATTTCTGAAAGAAATTAAGGAAGACCTAAAGTAAGAGACATCCTGTGTTCATGAATTGGAAGACTTAAAATTGTTAAAATGACAACAGTACTAAAAGCAATCAACAGATTCAGTGCAATCCCTATGAAAATCCTATTGGCATTCTTTTTCAGAGATGGAGAAACCCATCCTAAAATTCATATGGACTTTCAAGAGATCCCCAAAAGGCAAAAATGATCTTTTCAGTTTAAAAGCTTACTACAAAGCTACAAGTAATAAAAAAAAAATGTAGTACTGGTGCTTTTCATAAAGATGACACTGAAAGTGAAGAAGAAATCCCATACCCCTCCCAAAGCTGAAGCCAAAGAAAACATCTCGAAGGCAAAGAAAACAGTGTTGAAAGGTGTCCACAGCCACAACAACAAAGATCTACATGTCACCCACTTCTGATGGCCCAAAACACTGTGTTTCCAAAGGCAACCCAAATATGCTTGGAAGAGCACCCTCAGGAGAAACAAGCTTGACTACTTTGCCATCATCAAGTTCCCCCTGACTACCAAGTCAGCCATGAGGAAGATAGAAGACAGCAATACACTTGTGTTCATTGCAGATGTCGAGACCAGCAATCAGCAGCTCAAACAGGCTGTGAAGAAGCTCTTGACCTTGATATGGTCAAGGTCAACACCCTTATCAGGTCTGATAAGAGAGAAGAAGGCATGTATTTGACTGGCTCCTGACTATGATGCTTTGGATATTGCCAAAAAAAAATCGGGATCATCTAAACTGAATTCATCTGGCTAATTCTAAATATGAAAACTTTTTGCCAGTCATCTTGTAGGAAGAGCTGAAGCAGGTGCTCTTGGCTTAGCGCAGCCCACTGCAATATGTGGAGGAACGCACCCCCGAGCCACCATCATTCCTGGGCATTTACAGAAGGCTTCGGCTGCATGGTCACCAACTGATTTGACCAGTTATTTGACAATGAATTAGTCTCTTTTGAGGTGTTGAAGGCAGCAGAAAAGAACAAAAAAGAAGCTAGCTAGGGTGACATTGGGGGCCTTGGGGGCAAGAACACAGCTCAGGTCACAGCCCAGACCAACTCCAATGTGGCAGGCAAACAGCTGTGTGAAAAATCCCAGAAAGATTGCAAGAACCTGCTGCTTCTCACTGTAGGCATGGTTGACAAGAAAACAGACGCAGCCATCTGTGGTGCTTAAGAAAGAAGGAATAAGATATGTTGGAAGAAAACCTGATCGACAACTTCAGAGTGAAGAGAAAATGATTGACAGGAGACCTCAAAGGCAACCACCTCATGAACGACAATTTGAAAAGCCACTTGAAGAAAAGGGTGAAGGAGGAGAATTTTCAGTTGATAGATTATTGACTGGCCTATCCAAGGCCATGGTAGTCTTGGAAGAAGTTGAGGAGGCCATGGACATGCAATGGGTCCAGGAGATGGATTTGATTCTCGTGACAAACGTGAATTTGATAGGCATAGTGGAAGTGATAGATCTGGCCTGAAGCATGAGTACAAATGTGAAGGTAGCAGATCTTACAAGTGGGGAACTGTCAAAGATGGATTAACTGATTTGGAGCAATCAAATGTGACTGAGGAAATAACTGAAGGTGAAGAGCATCCACTTGCAGACACTGAAAATAAGGAGAACAAAGTTGCAGAAATAAAGGAAGAGGGTCCAAAAGAAATGACTTTGAATTAGTGGAAAGCTGTTCAAAATAAGGACTGGGCAAAAGTATAATTTAATATCCAAAACCTAATGAAGATGCCAACAGGCAGTGGAAGAAGGTATTTGTTCTTCATAAGTCAAAGAGTGAAGAGGCTCACACTGAAGATTCGGCTATGGACCATCGTTTCTGGAAGTCGGCAAATGGTATATCGTCTCAGCTGGAGATCAATTTTGGAGACCTTTGCTGCTCAGGACGTGATGGCAGGAGAGGAGAGGTGGCCATGGGTGTGTTGGATATCCAGACTGTGGCAGCAGGACTGACAAGTGCTTCTGCTCCTGACCTAGATAACCCAGAGGCATTCCCAGCTTTGGCTTAACTGGATGCCATAAAACAACCCTGGTTCCTTTGTGGACCCTCCTCTCTGAGGTTTTACATACTTATGGATCCCAAATGACTAATAGATTAAAAAAAACAAACACTGTATACCCTTCACATCTACATACCGAATTTTATCTGGAAAATGAACTTCTTTTACTACACAGAGTAACAATGTGATAGTTTTGTATTTAGAAGCGTATTAGTAGCAGGGATGTTTTCATAATTTTCAGAGATTATGCATTCTCCATGAATATTTTGTATTGCTGCTTGTAAGTATGCATTTCTAAACTTGAAATATAGATGTGAACAGTGTATACCAGTTATAAGTAAATAAATAAATATGAAAAATTTTCATTGTAAAGAAAAATATGGTACTAACGTAAGGACAGAGATATAGACCAATAGAATAGAATTGAGGACCCAGAAATAAACCCTCACATCTATGGTCAGTTTTCGACTAGAATGCCAAGAACATTCAATGGAGAAAGAACAGTCCCTTTTTTAAATTAAAATTATCGGAGTGACATTGGTTAATAAAATCATATAGGTTTCAAGAGTACAATTCAGTAATACGTCATATATGTATTGCATTGTGTGTTCACCACCCAAAGTTAAATTTCCTTCCATCACCACATATTTAACCCCCTTTACCCTTACCTACCTCCCCCTCCCTGCCTTCCCTCTGGTAACCACTAATCCTCTGTCCATGTCTGTGAGTCTCTGTTTGTCATGTTTGTTTGTTGCTTTCAGTTTTATATTTCACATATAAGTGAAATATGATTCTCAACTTTTCCTGTCTGACCTGTTTCGCTTAGCATGATAATCTGAAGATCCATCCACGTTTTCGCAAATGGCAGTATTTTATCTTTCCTTATGGCTGAGTAATATTCCATAGTATATATGTACCACATCTTCTTTATGCAGTTATTTATTGAAGGACACTTCAGTTGTTTCCATGTTTCAGCCAGCATGAATAATGCCACTATGAACATTGGGGTGAACATATCTTTGTGGATAATGTTTTCAAATGTTGTGGGTAAATACCCAGAAGAAGAATTGCTGGGTCATATGGTAATTCTATTCTTAATTTTGCGAGGAAGCTCCATACTGTTTTCCATAGTGGCTGTACCAATTTACATTCCCATCAGCAATATATAAGTGTTCCTTTTTCTTCACAACCTCTTCAACACTTGTTATTACTTGTCTTGTTGATGATGGCCATTCTAACAGGTGTGAGGTTACTGGTATCTCATTGTGGTTTTGATTTGCATTTCCCTAATAGCTAGTGAAGTTGAGCATCTTTTCATATGTTTGTTGGCTGTTTGTATGTCTTCTTGGGAGAAGTGTCTGTTCAGGTCCCGTGCCCATTTTTTAATTGGATCGTTTGTTATTTTATTGTTGAGTTGTATGAATTCTTTGTATATTTTGAGTATTAGGCCCTTATACTCATTGAGTCATTTAAGAACAGTCTCTTAAACAAATGGTCTGAGAAGACTTGATATCCACATGCAGAAGAATGAAGTTAGACTCTCATTTTTTGTATACAGTACACAAAAGGTAACTGAAAATGGATCGATGACCTAAATTTAAGAGCTAAAAGTATAAAACTCTTTGAAGAAAACATAGGGGCAAATCTTCATGACTTTGGAATTGACAATAGTTTATTAAATACAATGCCAAGGCGCAGACAACAAAAGAAATTAGATAAATTGGACTTATTAATTTTTTAGAATTTTGCATCAAAGGAAACTATCAACAAAATGAAAAGGCAACCCACAAATGTGAGAAGATATTTGCAAATCATGTCTGAAAGAGTTTAATATCCAGACCATATAAAGAACACAACTCATCAGTAAAAAGACAAACAATCCATTTAAAAAAATGGGCAAAGGACTTTAATAGACATTTCTCCAAATAAGATATATGAGTGACCAGTAAGCACATGAAAACATGCTCAATAACATTAGTCATGAGGGAAAGGCAAATCAAAACCACAATGAGATACCACTTCACACCTATAATTTTTTTTTTTTTAATGAAAAACAGTTGTTGGCAAGGATGTGGAGAAATTGGAACCCTCATACATCACTGATGGGAACATAAAATGGTGCAGCCGCTATGTAAAATAGTTTGGCAGTTACTCAAAAAGATAAGCATAGAATTACTATAAGACCCAGCAATTTCACTCCTAGGTATATAGCCAAAGGAATTGAAAACATGAACTTAAACAGATGCTTGTACAACACTGTTCATAGCAGCATTACTCACAATAGCCAGAAAGTGGAAACAACCCAAGTGTCCATTAGTAGGTGAACAGATGAATAAAATGTGGTTATATATGTGGTATATACATATACACAATGGAATATTATTCAGCCATAAAAAGAAATTACAAAAAGAATCAAATTCTGATACATGTACAACATGGATGAACTTTGAAAATATTATGCTAAGGAAATAAGCCAATAACAAAAGGACAAATATAGTATGATTCCATTTATATGAAAAATTAGAATAGGAAAACTCAAAGAGACAAAGTAGGGGCTGGGTGGAGGAGAATGGGAAGTTATTGTTTAATAAGTACAGTGTTTCTGTTTGAGAAGATAAGCTTCGGAAATAGAAAGTGGTGATGGTTGCACACCATGGTTGTGAATGTAATTAATACCACTGAGGTGTATACCTTAAAATGGTTAAAATGGCAAATTTGGGGTTATATTTTTCCACAATTTTAAAATGCATTAATTTTAAAATAATAATGTATCCATTAAATGTTAACACATTTTTATTAAAAATAACTATTTTCCAAAACAAAAAAATTAATGAGAAGATCGACTTCATTTTAAATTTCTATAAATCTCATTAATGTCTGGTTTAATAGAAGATTGCTAGATTATTATATCTGCTTTTGCATTCAGTCTGTTGTGATTTTTTGGGAGGTTGAATTATATTTTAAAAATCTAGCCTTGTCTATGGCCATGCTATCCTGAACATGCCCAATCTCATCTGATCTCAGAAACTGAGCAGAGTCGGGCCTGATTAGTACTTGAATGGGAGATCACCTAGGAAGACCAGGTGCTGTAGGCTTAAAAAAAAAAAATCTAACTTCACATAGATTTGTAGTTGAGAGTAATATCCTAAATCAGAACATTGTGGATATTATTCTTTGACCCTACATCAAAACTTGACAAGTGGTAGTTGTTTGGTGGGGTTTTTTTTTAGTGATAGTTTTCTAAAGGTTAGTTGCAATCTGGAATCTGAAATTGTATCAGTGAACTCTTTTGAACTCTGCTACATTAAAATTTATTGGTCTATCTTATTCTTTGAATGAATCCTACGTAGGATGATTTTGAAACATGATGCATTTCATTGGATATTTGGGAAAGTTTGGTTCACTGACTTAGGCAGATCATCCAAATGTCAACACATTTCATTATACAGGCATAGCTCGGCGATATTGCAGGTTCTGTTTCAGATTATCACAATGAAGTGAGTTAAGCGAGTTGTAATCTTTTTGCTGATGGAGAGTTTTGCCTTCAATTTGTAAAAAAGGCAACATCTGTGAAGCACAATAAAATAAGGTATGCCTGTACAATATTAAAAAATCACATTGACTAATATCACTACCAGTCTTATCAGAAAGTGTTTAAGTATTTGGAACTTGTCAACCTCACAGTGATGGACAGGAGTTTTCCAAAATACAGAATTTTGCTTGAAATCCCCAAATTTATCATTGACAACAAATACTATCAGTTGTTGTCAATGGACAACAAATACTTGAATTGATAAGCTCACTGTTTATTTTTTGAGAAAATGTCACATTACCAACTCTGATTAACAACCATGGTTTGTGTGTCAACTGATTATTCAAATAAAACACTGTTCCCTGAGAAGAGCAGCCAGTTCAGTTTGCAACTTAAACAGTCCCACAAGTGCTTTTTTCCAAGACACTGTTTTATTTGGATATGCCGCAGAAGTGCTTGATGCATACTTCCCGTTTTATCACATAATAAAAGACATGTATTCAAGTGTCAAGATTTTATAAAATTATTAATTTTTTTACTGTTTCCTCAAGGATATTAAGTGAAGCTGGATTTTTTTTTTCCTGTGTGGCAGTAAAGATTACTATAACTGCTAGTACGGTTTAGTGCAACTGGGTAGATTTGTGCTAAGACACCAGCAGTTTTGCCCACCATTGTTTTTGCACTAATGATTACAAATGTTAACAGTGAAAAAGGCAAATAACAAATAACATCTTAGTATTATTATGAAAATAGTTTTGCCCTTGGAGACCACTCGAAAGGGTCTTGAGGACTCCTAGGGGTTATCAGACTACACTTGAGTACAAATGGTCTAACAAATTATTAACTTTCACAGTGGGAATTTCAGTTCTTGGCAAGTTAGTGGAGAAGATATTTTGGTATGCAGTCTTGTACCAATTCTCAGACCACACCACCTAGGTGGTCACTTCCTCCATTGAGCACTGGGTCACCACACACAATTCTTATTTAGTCATGTTTCTTTAGCTCAGTAGAAGTGTCATTTTTGTTCTACTATCTGCTGTCTCTTAACAGTCGAGTCAGCTGTCTCCAGAGCTTTCCTTCTTGGTTTACTTATCTCTTGTCTATATACCTTCTAGGGGGGAAGATACAGAAGATAAAGAAGTCATCGTCC